GAGATCCTATGAAGCCGAGAGGCGAAATGTCATCATATGCATTTTTTGTGCACACGTGTTGGGAGGAGCAGAAGAAGCAGCACCCAGATGCTTCAGTCAGCTTCTCAGAGTTTTCTAAGACGTGCTCAGAGAGGTGGAAGACCATGTCTGCTAAAGAGAATGGAAAATTGGAAGATATGGCACAGGCGGACAAGGCCCGTTATGAGAGAGAAATGAAAACCTACATTCTTCCTAAAGGGGAACAAAAAAGAAGTTCAAGGATCCCACTGCACCCAAGAGGCCTCCTTCGGCCTTCTTCCTATTCTGCTCTGAGTATCGCCCAAAAATCAAAGGAGAACATCCTGGCCTGTCCGTTGGTGACGTTGCGGAGAAACTGGGAGAGAAGTGGAGTGACTGCTGCAGATGACAAGCAGCGCGAAGATGAAGGAAAAATACGAAAAGGACACTGCTGCATATCGAGCTAAAGGAAAGCCTGCTGCAGCAAAAAAGGGAGCTGTCAAGGCTGAAAAAAGCAAGAAAAAGAAGGAAGAGGCGGAAGACGAGGAAGAGGAAGATGAAGAAGATGATGATGATGAATAAGTTGGTTCTAGTGCAGGTTTTTTTTTGTTGTCTATAAAGCATTTAACCCCCCTGTACACAACTCACTCCTTTTAAATAAAAAAATTAAAGTGTAAGGCTGTGTAAGATGTTTTTAAATTGTGCAGTGTCTTTTTTTGATAGTTAATGCACTACCGAATGTGTCTTTAGGTAGCCCTGTCCTGGTGGTATTTTCAATAGCCACTAACCTTGCCTGGTACCGTATGGGGGTTGTAAATTGGCATGGAAATTTAAAGCAGGTTCTTGTTAGTGCACAGCACAAATTAGTTATATATGGGGATGGTAGTTTTTTCAACTTCAGTTGTCTGTAATGAAGCTTATACGAAATAATTGTTGTTCTGTTAACTGAATACCAGTCTGTAATTGCAAAAAAAAAAAAAAAAAGTTGCAGTTTTGTTGACATTCTGAATGCTTCTAAATAAATACAATTTTTTTTAAAGGTAATTATAATAATTACAAGTTGGCCGGGCGTGGTGGTTTACGCCTGTAATCTCAGCACTTTGGGAGGCCGAGGCAGGTGGATCACCTGAGGTCAGGAGTTCAAGACCAGCCTGGCCAACATGGTGAAACCCTGTCTTAAAAAATAATAATAACAATAATTACAAGTGTTGCTGAGATGATGGAGACGTGGGGATCCTCATAAAGTGGGAATGTCACATGGTGCATTTCCTAAAGAAACAGTTTGGTGGTTTCTCAAAAGGTCAAACAGAGAGATCACAGGATGCAGCAGAACCGCTCCTGGGTACACACCCAAGTGAACGGAACACATAAGCCCACATGAAAACTTGCTCATGAATTTTCACAGCGGCATTATTCGTAGTAGCCAAAAAGGAGAGACATCCCTAATGTCTATCAGGTGATGAATAAACAAAATATGGTATAACCACACAGTAGATGATTCTCCACAATAAAAAGGAAGAAAGCACTGATATTCAATGTTAAAACACTGAATATACTATAAACCAGTGAATTGAACATTTTAAAAATATTAACCTTGGGCTGGACACAGTGGTTCACTCCTGTAATCCCAGCACTTTAGATTGGATGGGTGGATCAACTGAGGTCAGGAGTTTGAGAACAGCCTGGCCAACACGATAAAACCCCATCTCTACTAAAAATACAATCAATCAATCAATCAGTCAGTAAATAAAATTAGCCGGTCATAGTGGCAGGCACCTGTAATCCCAGGTACTCAGGAGGCAGACACAGAGGCATGAGAATTGCTCTCACTCAGGAGGCAGAGTTTGCAGTGAGCTGAAATCACACCACTGCACTCCAGTCTGGGTGACAAGAGTGAAACTCCATCTAAAAAAATGTATTTATATGTGTATATATATATTATGTAAACTTTAACGTACATGAATTCTATCTCAATAAAGCTATTATTTTTCAAAAATTAGAAAGTGTGGGAGATGCATACTGAAGCTTGGTGTTTATTTTTCTATGGCCAGTTTACAGTAATTTCTTTTCTTATTAGTGCTTTGCTGCATTTTCCAGACAGTCTACGTTAGACTTTTATTACAATGATGATAAAATCAGAAATTTCTAGTTGGTTAAAGGAGGCTAAGGTGGAGTTTGTCTTTCTCCAGCTGTCACTACAGAGAGACAGGAGCCTGCAAATCCATTTCCCAGCTGACCTGAGTACCCAGTTAGCCAGAGAAGGTCAGAGGCATGAATTACTGCACTAAAAAGTGTCAAAGCTCCTAAGCACACTCTCAGCCCCAGGACTATGGGCTGGGCCAGGCTGTGGCTGAAGCCGTGCCTGGCCCCCCATCCCCAGCCACATCTGCCACCTCTGCCAGTCCTGGTGATGCAGCTGCATGGCATCCCCCAGAGGCAGTAGGCTGGGGCTACAAAGCCCAGATGCTGCTGGGGAAACAGATCTGCCTTCAAGAATCTACTGCAAATTGAATTCTAATTAGCCTGGGAAGGGAGCCTCAAGCCTCCCTGGCTCAGAGCCACCTCTCTAGTGCATTTTGGAGCAGATGAGCAGATAGCAACACACAAGCCCTTTTTCCTGGTTGGGAGCTTTAGGGATTCTCACACTGCAATTCGCATAGCACCTGACTTAGTCTAAATCACAGTACTTTACAGCTGGAGGCCATAAAGTCTGAGGGCTCCCCACTGCTCCTCTGCAGCAACACATGCTCGGTATAGAGTGTGATTGTGCTTTTAGCACCTTCGCCTGTTTCCCTAATTACTGACAGAGCCCTCTCATTACAGGGATAATCTGGAATGTTCTCTGGTTTATTAACCATTTATTTTAATTACTTTATTTTCAAAAAGTAAATCATTCTTCCAAATCAATGACATAGAGAGAAAAAAGAATAGACTATTTTAGAAGAAAATAACTCAGGCTGAGTGCGGTGGCTCACGCCTGTAATCCCAGCACTCTGGGAAGTCAAGGAGGGCAAATCACCTGAGGTCAGGAGTTCGAGACCAGCCCGGCCAACATGATGAAACCCAGTTTCTACTACATACACAAAAATTAGCTGGGCATTGTGGCATGTGCTTGTAATCCCAGCTACCCGGTAGGCCGAGGCAGGAGAATTACTGGAATCTGGGAGGCCAAGGCTGCAGGGAGCTGAGATCGAGCCACTGCACTCCAGTCTGGGTGACAGAGTGAGACTCTTGTTTCAAAAAAAGAAAAAAAGTAAAAAAAGAACTCAAAACACACAGTCAAATGCAACATGTGGAACTTATCTGGATTCTGGTTTGAAAAAATATCTGCCAGGAGATACCCTAGAGGTAATCAGATATACCTCAATATTGACTGAGTAACAGGTAATATTGAGAAATTGTTAATGCCATTGTCACTACCCAGACCAATCTTGTTTATGCATTTCTAGACCTATCTCGCCTCCCAAGACACTAGAAGCAGAATGTTTTCTGTCTCAATTAAGACAGTAGGTATAGAGCGCTGCGATTAAGAGTGTGAAGCCCACTTGACCATTTACTCTGTGATCTTGTGCAAGTTACTCACTCTCTCTGTGCCTGCTTGATTAAAAGAAAATCTGTAAACCCAGGGAGACAATATAACCTCAACTCATGGGCTTGATTCAAAGAGTGAGTGAGCGAATATTTATAAAGCAGAACAATGTCTGGTGCATAGTGCACGTTCCGGAATCTTCCTGGGCCACAGAATAGAATAGAATTATAGTCTATGAATTCAAGGGAAAGTCTTCAAATGAGGAAAACCCGAGGACAATGGTCCTATTGGATTCAGGTGCCCCAGTGCCCCAGCAACAGAATGTGGCAGGCACAGGCAGGAATCTCACAAGGACATACAAAACAGAGGAAGCTGGAGAGTCATGGCTAGAAGCCTGACTTCTTTTTTTTCTGATATGGAGTCTTGCTCTGTTGCCCAGGCTGGAGTGCAGTGGCACGATCTCAGCTCACTGCAACCTCCGCCTCCTGGGTTGAAGTGATTCTTCTGCCTCAGCCTCCCTAGTAGCTAGGATTACAGGCATCTGCTAGCATGCCCAGCTAATTTTTGTATTTGTAGTAGAGATGGGAGTTTCACCATGTTGGCCAGGCTGGTCTTGAACTCCCGACCTCAGGTGATCTGTCCGCCTCAGTCTCCCAAAGTTCTGGGATTATAGGCGTGAGCCACCGCACCCGGCCCTAGAAGCCTGGCTTCTGAAGCCAGACTGGGTTCAAATCCTGTCTCTACTACCAGTGAGGGGTGTGACTTTGAGCAGGTCACCCTCCGGCTCTCTGTGCTCCAGTTGACTCTGTTGTAAAGGCCAGAAAAGCCCCGGCCTCCCAGGGTGGAGAGGAGCCCAGCCCTGGCTCTCCCAGCAGCTCACCGCTCTCTGAGGCCCTGGTACTCGGCCCACTCGCTTGTGGGTTCAAGTCAGCTAAGTCCTTTCTGCTCTTCAGACCTCAGTTTTCCCATCCTCAAAAATGGGAAACTCGACTGCCTTACCTCCGTGTAAGAGGGAGGAGAAAGGAAAGTCGACATTTCCTAGGCACCTGTCCTGAGGCCCAGTGGGCCTGTCCTGAAGCCCAAGATGAAGCCGTCAGAAGCAGTGACGCAGGACTCCAATTCCCCTGGGTCTGGTTCCAAATTAACCCACCAAGCTACTGTTTCTCAATAATTCTATGGAAAAAGCCCCTGGAGAGCTTTTGAAAGCCATGCCCTTTAAAACCCAAGCAGAGACAAAAGGGTCTCCCCGGCCTCCCCGCCTCAGTAAGGATCCCGTGCTCAGCTGAAGCCTCAGCAAGACACTTCCAAAACGGCGCCAGCAGCGGCGATGCCTTTTCCACGTTGCTGATGGAAAAGCCACCTCCAGCTGTTCCCGCCAACCCAGGTCTCCGGTGAGGACAGAGGAGCATCCCCAACGGTGCCACTGGTCCCGTTCCCAGCCCACCCAAGTGTGGAGAGTGAAGAAACAACGTACCCCAAAGCTTGGCGTCTCTGCCCGACCTGCCGCGGCAGGGAGTGGGACGCCTCTCTCTCTGGGCTCAGCGAAGGCTCCCAGACGTCGTCTCTTCCAAATTCCACCGCACAGCCAGCTCCTTCTCTTCAATGAAGGGTCTGCAGGGCTGACTTGCTCCTTAAGGTCCCTAGACTATGACGGGACACCCCGTGACTCCAGGAAAGGGACTCTAAGAGGCATGGATGGGAGTAGGGGAACCAAACCACTGGAAGCTCCTGGAGACTCGAGGCAGAGCGAATCTGGGAACAGGGCAGCCGTCCCAGAATGGGATGTGGAGGGTGGGGGTGTCCTGGGGCTGCCACAGGGAGGCACTCGACGCAGAGCCCCCTCCGGAGCCTGGCACTGCCGCCCGCACCCTCTACTCCCTGTGCGCCGGCCCACAACCCTCGGCGCTGCCCGGTGCTGCTCGCCCTGAGCGCACACAATGAGGCGCTTTCAGACGTGGCTGCGGTCCCTGGGTGGCCGGCAGGAGCCAGGACGGTGGGGGAAGGAAGGAGCCGGTTGGCCCTAGGCTCCCTCTCCCCACCCCCGACCGGGGGGCCACGCCTCGGGGGGAGGGGCGCTGGCCGAAGGCAGGGCAAGAGGGCCCAGGTGGGCTGGGCTCTGAGAGGCGCACCGTTTAGCCGAGGATGTCGAAGGGCGCTGGCAGAGTTACCGCTCATCCAGCTGACCACAAATGAACGTCGTACCCTACCCCCCGCCCAATTCCCAGAGAAAGGGAGCTCCTGGACAAAGATCCTAGCGAAGGAAGTAGAATCTTAATCTTGGCCCTCCTCGCCCTTGGGGGGCATCCTTACAGCGAAGTGACTTGGAATCCAAACCCTTCCCAATGCCCCAGCCTCAGCCCTAAGCCAAGACCCAGGCACCTGGATAACACAGGGACTCCGTGCAGTGTCCCAGCTGGGAGGGGCAGAGAGACCAGGTGGCCTTAGGAGCTGGACCCGCAGCTGTTCCCCTCCTCCTGCTCATTTCCTTTTTTTTTTAGATTCTACTTTGTTTTTGAAGAGGAGTTTCCCTCTTGTTACCCAGGCTGGAGTGCAATGGCGCGATCTTGGCTCACCACAACCTCCGCCTCCTGGGTTCAGGCAATTCTCCTGCCTCAGCCTCCCGAGTAGCTGGGACTACAGGCGTGCGCCACCATGCCCAGCTAATTTTTGTATTTTTAGTAGAGACGGGGTTTCACCATGTTGACCAGGATGGTCTCGATCTCTTGACCTCGTGATCCACCCGGCCACCGCGCCCGGCCTCTCCTGCTCATTTCCTGCCCTAGCCTTGGCCGAAAGAGGCGTAGGCTTCATAGCAGATAAAGACATGAAACGTTTCAATAAATAAATAAGGTATTTTCCCCTTACAGATAACAGGGCAGAGACCAGGCATCTGAAGAGGATAAAGCATTTGAAGGTCTTGTAATCAGTGATGTGATCTTAAACAAGAACTCCCTGCTGCAGGGAGAAGAAATGAGCAGTCTTTCCTGGTTGTGGTTTGGCAAGATGAATTACAATCCTTAACAATGGTCATAAACGTTTTGGATTGGAAATTCCTTTCTGGGGTCTATCTTTTTTTTTTTTTTTTTTTTTG